CTATTATATGCCCATTATTTGTTGAAAATACTGTTTTTTTTCACAATTTTCACATATGTGGTAGATTTTAAGATTCTGAACAACTTTGTCATTTAGTATAGCATATCCGTGTAAATCACACGGATAGATAGGAAAAAGGACTTCTTAAGGACTTGGGATAATTATCGCAAGGTACTCCCAGAAAAATGAAAAGTCCCGTGGGACTTCCGAATCACCCTTTTGTTTTGCCAGTGACATAGGTATACAATGCCCACATATTTTTTGAAAAAATATAATAGTTTTTTGGGGGAAATTTTTGAGTTTATGGCCAAACAGTAAGGAATTTTTGAAAACAAAAAAAGAGAATTCCTTAAGAAATGTTCACTTGAACTATGGTAAAAATTCAGCTTAATCAGATAGGCCCTTTTGATCGAAGTGCTGCGTCAGGACCAGTCCATTCTTCACTGTTGCGATTTCTTCAGAACGAAAAGAAAGCATTTGGGTGGACTAGTTTAGAAATTTTCACCACCTGCCATTTCCAAACAGGAGATGAAAAATACTTTAAAGTATTTTCAAAATGGTCGATAAGTAACACGGTTTTGGGCATTTCTTGAACGTTTCTTCACAGAAAAAAGACACTGAAAATAGCTTCGTTCGATAGAGAATGAAATTCTACGTCCAATAGACTAGTTTAGAAATTATCACCAGCTGACATTTCTAAACAGCAGATTAAAACTACTTTAAAGCATTTTGGTATGCGTTTGCACGTAGCGGTTATACGTATGGCAAACTTGTTGCTTTTGTTATTTTATGTGCCTGGTTTTGTCTTCTAGATAAACTCTTTCAATTGTTTCGTTTCTTACAGAAACATTTATCTCAAATGCAGAAAAGGTCCACAATGGTTCCACACTGTAAAAGTGGAAATATTAGTCAATGGTCAAGTGAAAATTTGACGAACACAAATGAATCATCAACTGATGGAGAATATTCTATGTATATAGGTGATGATGATAGTTTAGATTTTAATGAACAAATTGGATTATCGGATGTTAGAGATCTTTTTGAAATCTGCAAAGAATCTTTTTCAGCTTTATTGTTGTTTGTTATTGTTGCTGCGTCTTTTGTTTTTTGTTTAAAGCAACTGCTCTACTAATATATACTGTGCATAACATGTTTACCCATGAGCTCCCTTACAAAAACTCGTATCACGGTTCCAAAGTCAAAGTTTTCAATTCGAAGTTTTCTGGAAAACCCACGAAAATCTAATGAAAACTCGGTGCAAGCTAGTGGCTGGTGACATACAGTTTGTCCCATCCCCTTTTGACTATCTCCAGACAAAACTACACGGAATTAAGAACTCGTTTTTCTACCATATATATCAATGGGTAGCACAAGTTGTGGGGTAATAGTAAAACATGAAGACACCCACAGACACCTACAGACACTTACAGACAGCCACAGACAGCACACAGACAGCCACAGACAGCCACAGACAGCCGCAGACATCTACACGGACATCACATAAGTATTAACAGACAACCCAAAACAGCCACACAGACACTCACTTCTACAGACATCCACAGACATTCAACTACAAAGACAGCCACGAAACTACACAGACACTCCGGAAATTACCCAAACAGCCGAATCAACCTACAGACACTTATAGACAACACACGGACATCCACAGGCAGTTGCAGACATCTACAGAATGCACACAGACATCCACAGACACTTACAGACACATCCACAGACAGTTACAGACAACATACAGTCGCAGACATCCACAGACAGTCGCAGACACCTACAGAATGCACACAGACATCCACAGACACCTACAGACACATCCACAAACAGTTACAGACAGCAAACATACAGTCGCAGACATCCACAGACAGTCGCAGACACCTACAGAATGCACGCAGATATCCACAGACACCTACAGACACATCCACAGACAGTTACAGACAGCAAACATACAGTCGTAGACATCCACAGACACTTACAGAGATATCCACAGACAGTCGCAGACATCTACAGAATGCACAGAGACATCCAAAGACACTTACAGACACATCCACAGACAGTTGCAGACAGCAAACATATAGTCGCAGACATCAAACATACAGTCGTAGACATCCACAGACACTTACAGAGATATCCACAGACAATCGCAGACACCTACAGACACATCCACAGACAGTTACAGAGATATCCACAGACAGTCGCAGACAGCAAACATACAGTCGCAGACATCCACAGACAGTCGCAGACACCTCCAGCCACATCCACAGACAGTTACAGACAGCATACAGTCGCAAAGGAAAAGAAGCATTTGCTAACGGTCATTTCTGAAAAAAAAGTCTGTTGAGATAGGGATTATTAACGAAGATAATTCACTGAAACGCTTTTTAGTTTAGTTTATTTCCACCTGTAAACATCAATTTCTCCATCGCACATTTGCACATTTGCACATTTGCACATTTGCTTTCTCTCGTGCCAATATCTCGTGCGAATATCTTAGGCTTTGGATAGGGTTCACATGGTTTTGTTCAAATTCTTTAAATTCGTACATATGTCTATGTGCACATATGTGCCTTATTGTATGTGTGATGAGAATTTCAATCATTGGTTTCAATGCTTCTAAAATCATGATTCTTATTTATGAATGTTACAGTTCCGTTCACCCTGTTTCTGGCTTTTTTAATCTATAACTTTTTAGTGTGATGGTCGGTAATGAATCTAAATTAGGAAGCTTGTTTCATCTGATTTTCAGTAGTGCATGTGTATGTATTGCTTTATAGAAGTACGAGCTTTTTCGGTACAGACACACTCGTCTGAATAACGTACGCATTGCCAACTTGTGAATGTACTTAAAAGAAGGTTCTGCGTGTTGCTAGATGACAATCAAACTATTTTTAAAAATGTATATAAAAAAGAAAGAAAGAAAAAAGAAAAAAATGTGATTGTAGAGAGCGAAAGAAGGAAAGTAAAGGAGATGAAGAAAAGAAGGACACTATTTGTAGATTTTATTTTTACTTCGCTTCTGATTCAATTCTATAACATATATCGTTACGTAAATCTAAACTAGTCGGATTCATTTTGGAGTATGAATTATACTAGATAAACACTGCATCAAACTAGAAACATTTCTTATTGTACGTCCTGCATTTTGATATGGAAAGTTCAGTTGAAAACTATGATTCATCACCATCAATATCTTTATGTCCTAAAAGCCCAACATTCAAAACTGGTATTAAGCGGCCATCGCAAGAAACTTCAAGTCAGGTAAATAAATAGAAATCAGTGCTATTGCTTCATTCTTATTGGGTTGACAGGACCCGTTTTAAGACGTATGTTTGGAAGAAATGCAAGGCAGTAGCGACCTTTTGTTTTCAGCACAAGAATGTAGCAGCAGTAATTTTGATTTTATTAAAATATATAGAATTAATTTAAAACATAAATATTTCTAATGTTTCTAAAAGTTCATTTTCAAGAATATATACAGAAACGTGTCACTAGCTAGGGTTTGATCTGCTAGCTATGACGGACGCATGCAGAGAGAGAAAATTGTACAATGGAAAAATCTTGTTTTCTCCTTTTCTCTTTCATCCTATTTCTCTAGTCCAAAATCACGTTGAAAGATATGGGAAGAAAGAAAAATAATAGATAGTGAACTAAATATTTAAAATAAAAGTCAATTATAGAACTGACGAAATAAAAACTACATCGAAACATGTAGCACTATCTTCTTGATCGAAAAGGTTCCGGAACGAACTTTTTGGGAACACCCTCCGGAAAAACTATCACTGGTAAAGAGTGCTTAGTACGATTTAATTCAGGTTTATAAGCTGGAATAATAAGTGATTCTTGTAGTAACAGACAATAAGGGTTTCGGTCCCGCCAGACTACTCCAAAATTTTTCCAATCTATAACATGTCATTTTAAATGTTTAGTTCACTATCTATTATTTTTCTTTCTTCCCATATCTTTCAACGTGATTTTGGACTAGAGAAATAGGATGAAAGAGAAAAGGAGAAAACAAGATTTTTCCATTGTACAATTTTCTCTCTCTGCATGCGTCCGTCATAGCTAGCAGATCAAACCCTAGCTAGTGACACGTTTCTGTATATATTCTTGAAAATGAACTTTTAGAAACATTAGAAATATTTATGTTTTAAATTAATTCTATATATTTTAATAAAATCAAAATTACTGCTGCTACATTTTTATGTTGGTTTACTAAAAGTTTTGCCTATTCAAAAAGAGAACGTTTTTCGCAACTGGTAACACTAAAACCCAGGTACTGGTTGGGAAGAATTTTCGAATAGAAATTGTTTTTGAAACGTATCTGATTTCAGTTCTTCATCAACTGGCAGTGAACTGAACCTATGTTCTCTGGGTTTTGTACCCCTGTAGGTAGGCGTTTTCATTTGTTCGTTAACTAATTGTTTACCCTGCCAAAGCAGTGATTTGGTGCTACAATAGGTGTGTGATTACGGCTCTCAGTTTCAGACACTTTTTCTCAATTCTGTAGAAGACAAGTGTCCTGCAGGAATTTGATGACGAAAGAGATAAAAAAAGGGAATTAGACGAAAACGAAAATAAAAATAAGATATCATCCACAAATCCACAAAAACGTAAAAGACAATCGTCTAGCTGTCGTCAAGTATTTTACAACGCAATTGAAATTTTAAAGATGGTGCAAACAGCTGAGAGAGATGATACATATGATGATCTTCCAAAACGTGTTGTTGATGATCGAATATTTCTTATTGATTATAGTGAAAGTAATCGTTTGGATTGTAGAAAAGATGAGAATGGCACTTGGCTAGCAGGCGGTTCATCACTTGATCATTTTGTTGAATCATCTCCACAGATATTTAATGTAGCACGAATTAATTTTGATCAAACATGGACATATCGTACAAGGCAAGGACATAAATATATTGAACATCATGTTACAAATGATCAAATAATATCTGTCGAGCGTGCTTATTATAGGAATAAATCAAATCCTGAATTACGTCGTTTAGTCGCGTTTAGTAAGAATATAAAAAATAATGAAGAACATCATTTTCCTATATGCATTCAATATGTTTGGACTGCTGATAATACAACACGTTCAGCCGGAAAACCACATGCAAATGCTAAACGAAAAATTCAACCGTTTCAGTCTCGTACAACAACTACATTACGTGAAATTCAAGCTGCGGCAGTAACTGGCAAACCAACGACAACATATGCACAGCGTTTACAAGATGAAGAGCAGCAACAATCAAATAGTATTACACAAATGATTAGAGATAAAGATCAAATCAATTATGCACGAAAAATTGATATATACAGCACTGTTAATATATCTTTACAAGAACAGTATTTTGAATTAATGAATCGTACTACAACACAAGCTGATGGTTATATAGCTTCAATAACAACAACACGCGCGCAAAGTCCAATGATTTTATTATGTGATCCAGTTCAAATTCAAGAAGTGATCAAGAATTGCTGTAATCCAGATTGTGAAGAAAATTCAATACTTGGAATTGATACAACATTTGATTTAGGAACATTTTACGTCACTCCTACAACATTCCGTAATCGATGTGTAAGACAAGTTCGTACCGGTTATTATCCATTAATGTCCGGTCCAGTTTTAATTAGTTATAATAAAAATTTTGAAGCATATTCACATTTGTTATTATATATACAAGATGTGACAAACACTGCTGGAAAAAAATTAATAGCCATTGGTAGTGATGGTGACGGAGCTATTATGAAAGCCATTAATACACATTTGTCAACAACAACACATTTATTGTGTACAAGACACGTATTAAAAAATATTGAACGCAAATTAAAAGAAATGAACTCATCTGAATGTGATCGAGATAAAATTATTAGTTCAATATTTTATGATAAAGATAGTTTAATATCTGCTGAAAGTGATGAACATTATGATTTGCTATTTGAAAATTTGCACGATTTATGGAATGATCATGCACCAGATGGCTTTGTAGAATGGTTTAGAGATTATTATGAATATAAATTTAAACATAATCTTATTGCATCTGCGCGACAACAAGCTGGTATTAAACCAAATGATAAATATACACCGTTTTATTATACAAATGATAACGAATCGTTTAATCATAAATTAAAAAATGAAACTGATTGGACTACTAAACCGCTTTTACAAATAGTTGAAATGTTACAACGAAGTGCTCAAACGGAAGAAACTTTATTAATCCGTTCAATGCAACAAATTGGTGAATTTAGTCTTGTTGGACAATTTCAGAAATTTCAATACGACACAATTATATGGAATGGTAAATCCGATGATGAACGAACAAACATAAAACAAAAATTTCATGAAACACAATTTGTAACAAGTCATCCACAACGCAGACCATTAGCCATTGATCCATCAGCCGGTAAAAAGCCCGGTGCATCAACAAGAAATACAAAAACTGTTA